TATATTGGCGAGACAGAACAGCCTTTCAACAAACGCATGAATGGTCATCGAAGTGACTACACCTGCAAGCCCGACCTCCCCGTAAGTCGTCATTTGAGATCACCTGGGCACGCCCAAGCTGATCTCAAAAACCTTACAATCACAATCATAGACCACAACGAGGGTTGGTCAAAGGCCGAAAGACTTGCTCGGGAAAGGTTTTGGATAAGAAAGCTAAGGACAGTTTCCCCAGAGGGCATAAATGAAAAAACATAGAATGAGTCACTCATTTTCCCTACCATCACTCATTTTCCTGACATCATTTGTTTCCAGTTACTCCGGCTTCCTTACTTGACTCTTACAGTTTTAAGGTTTCTTTTGGAATTTTTGGAATTTTACTAGTTTAAATACCAGGGTTCTTTTCATTTGGTAGGGATATACAAGTACGCATCCACGTCCAACTTTTAACCTTAGCCCAAATTTACTATTATTTTTTCTTTTCATTATAAAACTGCTATTTATTTGGAATGATAAATACGCAGCCTCTGTTTGTCATATTTTACCAGCTTATATCGATCAGTGCTGTTCTTTTGGGAATGTATTTACACGCAGTTGTTGTAACATCTTAACTGACGTCATTTTGGAATTTTAAAGTTGTGCCAGTTCATATCTATAATTACTATTTTCATTTTAGGCATGTCTTTGAGTCGTTTTTTGGAAATTTTAAAAATTTATTAGCATCTCTACATATGATGTTCGGGTGAAACTGTTTCACTTTTTTTATTGTATAGAATTCAAGATTGCTATAGTTTAATAATCAGAATAGATTTATCTGATTCATTTTACATCGTGCTCATATTGATGAAGGATATCTGTTATCCGAAATATTTATCGTTACATTTGTTCGTTTATTGTCATTTTTTGGTGATGTTGTACCCTTTTAGACTGGTTATATATTATATTTTGTAGTGTACTGTATCATATTTATATGATCCATCGCCCCGTAAGATTTATCGTTGGCTATTATTCAGTCATTATATATATATATATAATATATATATACAAGTCTAAATTATATATACATATAACTAGATAATTAGGAGTCGACTGACGATTTCGACCATGCAGACTTATTTGTAGATCTAGTCTTGCTAATCATTTTTGCAATTTTAAGTTTCTCTCTATCTATTATAGTTTTCAAGATGATAGGCAAAAATGAAAAATAATGGTAAAATTTGTCATTTAAGGGCAATAACTCCTATAAGAAGTCGTCTGACAGTTTTGACGTACATGGACTCATTGGTAGAGTTCAACATTGTGAATATTTTTGTTTCTGTCAAATTTTCTCTATTTATAACGGTTTTCAAAATAATAGATAAAACTTGTATTTTACCCCTATGTTCTATTTTTAGCCATGTCGGTCATCTTGGTTGGCAGGCTGGGTCATTGACACATTTTTAAAACTATATACCCCAATGATGATTGTGGCCAAGTTTGGTTAAATTTAGTCTAGTAGCTTCAGAGGAGAAGATTTTTGTAAAAATGAACGGACGACGACGACGAAGAACGACGGACGACGCACAACGGACGCAAAGTAACGAGAAAAGCTCACTTGGTCCTTTCGGCCAGGTGAGCTAAAAAAAGTAACTCATGCACCTTGGTCTTAAAAGGAATCGTATAATTTCGAACATTGTTCACAGATAAAATTTCCTGCAACACATGACACAATTAAGGCAGTCGTGATGTGCCTGGCATAATAATAAATTTACGATCCAGTGACGCAGAGAATATCATGAATGTTTCAAAAAATATTTTCGCTCAGGGCTTTTTATATGAACAAAAAATATTTTGTCACCTTTAAGGACTCGCATTAATATTAAATGATTCTTGTCATCTAATTACCAAACTTTTCCAGTTTTAAAACAGATGTTTGTCAGACAAAAAGGTACTGAATTTAATACTTTTTCAAGAATTTGTTAGGTCCAAAGAAAGGGTAAATGTGTTAATAACGTGCATTTCCTATCATGATTTTCTTGATAGGAGGTTGCTGCTTACAAGGAAGCTATTTAACCAAGAGTTCCAAGTGGTGAAGTTGAAATAATCCCATCAAAAATTTTACGAACGCCATCACAAGTTGGTTGACCGCTGTGAAATATCTGTTTTACAAATGACAGATATGTTCCAATTGTCGTTTCACATATTTGTACTTACATGTGCAACACGACGGGTGCCACATGTAGAGCAGGATCTGCTTACCCTCCCGGAGCACCTGAGATAAACCCGGTTTTTTGTAGATTCGTGTAGTGTAGATTCGTGTAGCTCAGTGTTTAGTGTTCTATGTTGTGTTCTTTTTTTGTACTTTTGTCTTTGCTCGTTTTTTTTGGTTGTTTTTGGCCATGGCATTGTCGGTTTGTTTTCGACTTACGTGTTTGAATATCTTTTTGGCATTTTTCACATCTCTTTGTCTAAAATCCAGGTTATTTAGAGCTTGACATTCAATATAAACATTTGCCTGTTAGCCCCACTACATGTATTTGTGCTTTTTGTACTTCCTAAAATACTTGCTCTAAGCATTATTTATGAAGTGTAATTCGGAACCACATAGAAAGTTCAGAATTCTTTACTTTGATTCATCTGATATATAATTACTATTCGATTTTTATTTAAGTACATTTATATTTTTCGGTTTATTGAGAAATTATTCTCTTTTACATAAATTTTATACCAAATGTTCATAATTGGCAATATTACTGTAATGTATTGGAAAATATTTATTTTCGTTTCATGAAGTGTAAAACGGTAAATTGATATCACTTATCAAAACACGACCCTTTTGTAAGACTCCATACAAATACCTAATATGGGAACATTTATACCAGAGTTTCACGTCGTTTAAAAACATTTTAGTGGTTTGTTTTGATAAAAAATCAATTGAATTCATACAAATGAATGATAATAATATAATCAAACTGCAATATTAATCAAAAACATGCTCGTTTTTCTCCTGGTTAAGTGAGATTTCAATGCCTTTTGTATGATAAACTTTCACGGTTTATACACTTCAATGTTTCCTTAAGTCATGGTGGAAAGTATGATTTCATATCAATTCATTAAAACTTTACCCCTTTTAAAAGCGATTGTGTATTTAAATTGAAATACCGTCTCAACAACATTGAAATACACATTGAAAAAGTCTATATTAAACATTGAAACAGACAGGATTTTTGTAGAAATTCTATACCATATATTTATTTCGGTTTAATCTCTATATAGTTGTTTACGCAAGTATGACGTGAAATATTAGATAGTTTAAACACAATCAAATAGAACAATACATTTTACCTAATAGGGTTTTAATGTTAATGAATTGAGATAGAAAGTATAAATTTCTTTTTGAAAGCAGGCAACCTTTTCTTTATATGGACAGGGAGAATATCATACGATTATATAGAGGTATAAAGGTATAATTAAGGTAAGACTTTAGTACGTTATATAGAATCTTGTGTAAAATAGATAAATTCATATTGACAGGACTGAAATATGAAATTTATTTCTTTAAAATATTACATTTTCTTTATTTGGTGAAAACTGTACCTAGAATATGCGTTAAATGGGATAAAAAGGGTCAAAATTATATGTCTTACTTCCTGTGCCTTTTTATATATATATATTTTATGCTAGTTTGATCATCAGTCAAACAGTTCAATTTTAAGATAAAAATAAGGAGATGAGGTGTGATTGCCAATGAGACAACTATCTACCAAAGTTCAAATAAAGTGGATGTAAGCAATTAAGGTCTATTTTCTGTTATATGTATGGCTTAATACGTTTTGTATATTATTTCGATTCTTTTTGATATCCTTATTTTATTATGATGTCATTGGGGCATCTTTTGAGAAATAGAAATAAAAAATGCAGAATTTAATTGACTACTTTGTTAAATTCTTTTTAAAGGCATTTGTCTTTAGAAAACACTAAACACATGCTGCAACTGAATAAAATGGTTATACAAATGATGTAGGATACCTAATATATATGAGTTCTTTTCACAGGATATAATTGTTTTGTAGAAATTCAAAAGTTATACGTTCTTTTAAATGAAGTCATCATCCCTTTTTACTTCAAATAGTTGCCTTGTATACTAATAACTATTGTTCTGGAAAAAAATATGCTGACTTCAACATGCTAAAAATATAAAATTCGTATATCAAAGTTTATTAAGAAGAGCCGAATTCAATTGAGGTAAATGGTTTAACCTGAGATTCAGAATTAGAACTAAGAGCCTGCAGAATCAAAACGAAAAATGACAACAGTGTTTGAATTTAGCTAGATTTGAAATAAAAATATAAGTCGTAAGCTTTTATAAAAAATATTCAGTATATGAAGGTTCTGTCATTTTAATATGGATGTATAGAGGTAAAAAAGGTAGAATTTATAAATAAAATGCAATTCAATAAAACCGAGGCTTTTCATGATGAATTTCTAATCATAAATCTACAAAATGTTGTACAAGTGATGTAGCATTGGCCCTACGACAGAAGTAGTATAATAAACGTTTGACAACAGTTAGATATTGAAATAGATACGAAATATTGGAATGTACACAGGTTTCCGGAAGTTTAGAATAACTAGAAACTAGGCCCTTATGTAAATCACTTACAAAAATCAATATCCTTTGATACAAATTCAAATATTTGTATTACTGCAAAGAAATTTCAATATTTAAGGCTTATAGAATTTCTCTTAACGTCTTTTTCGTTATTGATTAGGACAATTAAAAAGATTAAATCATGTGAATAATTATGTCATTAACCTTTAACCTTCCTAAGAAACAATAGGCGAAATCATGACCATTCTGATATCTGGTATACAAAATTGCTCATTGGGCCATTTGAAGTTCACTATCAGTCCATCAAAATGGCATTAAATTGCAACAGTGTCTTTGTCTATGACCTATTCTAAACCAAACAGCATATACGCGTATTTGATTTAAAACAATAAATATTTTCACTTTAGCATGATCGATAGTTTAAAATCACTGATTCACTGGATGTGATTTATTATTAATGATTTACTCTGGTTTTTCAATAATCGTCGCCAACAACACGTTTTTCAAATGTCATTTTATGGAATAGGATGCTGGAATATTTAATAAATCCATGAATTACTCTAAAGTTTTTGAATTTGGTCTGGATACATAGTTTATGTGATAAGAAAAACAAAACGCTTGTGTATTTTTGCCTGAATGTTTCAACGATTCTGTTAAGGTGAGTTCAGGTACTGCAATATTTGTTTCTTTTAAAGTAAAGCGTATTGTTTACGATTAACATTGTATATGGAGTTACTTTTCGTTTCAATAATGAATTCAATTGTTTTTGAATTGCGAAATATTAGAAATTAAAAAATATATATACCGACTATTTTTTAGAAAATAAAACTTTTTCAGTTTTCTGAACTGTCCCAGCGTTGACTTGACGAAGGTTCTTTGTGACAATTATATTCAATAGTTTGTAGTTGAAAGTATTATGCTGGCTTATATTAACCTTTGATTCTAAATTTAGACTCCTTGTATAACATTTAGCTTAGTCATTGAATGCGTGTACTTATAAGTAATCTAAAGTACGATTAGACAGTGAATACTTTCTCTTAGTATTGTTTAGTCACTAAAGGAACTGATCATTTGTACCAATCATTCACAGGTTTAGCCAGCTATAAAACCAGGTTTAACCAACCATTTTCTTCGGAAAATGCCTGTATCAAGTCAGGAACATAGCATTTGTTTTTCACTTGTTTCTTTGTTTAATAGCGTTTATTTTGTCAGTTTTTATGGACTTCCCTTTATGAGTTTGCCTTGAAGTTCGATATTTTTGTTATACCTTTTTCACACCACAAATTAATATACATCAAGCAAATGAATGAATTACATGGATTATTAAGGGCATACGATACAGTTTTGATCCCACGGTGAGTTTTTTTATGAAAGTTTGCATACAAGCTTTTTCACTTAGTCAATTCAAATATGTAATAAGAAATATACCTTCATGTGGTACTTTTAGAGATAAATGGGGTCGAAATTTTAGACATTTACTGGACATTTCGGTTTCTTGGACATTTCTGTCCTTTGGAAAGACATACCTAACTTTTTTGTTTCAAAAGATAAACGCAAGCGAATTTTTGTAAACTCATCTGAAATATCTTCTGGACATAAGTGTGTTTTAAATTTGTGAAACAATTCCTTGGAAATAATTCATTTTTATTCCATTTTCATGATTTTAGTTAAAAAAAACCGGCATTTTTGGCTGTATATTTATCTGATTTGAATAAAATTCATCGGTGATTTGTTCATAAAAATTGGCACAAATAATCTTCACACATTATCAAGACAAATGTCATTTTTAAAAGAGGGGTCCATGAATTCGTTTTCAAGTTGAATCAGTCTGAATGATAAAAATCAGTCGAAAAATGCATCTTTTCTCGATATGTCACAGTTTGACGTCGCGAAAAATAACATTTTACGTTAGCGACGTCATTACTTCCCCTGTAACTGTATCGCATGCCCTTAAAGCGGCATTCTTAAGCAAGATCTGACCGTCTTTGTAATGAAAAGGAGAAAAAGAAAAAAATGAAAATAAAAAAGATAAGGAAAAATGTCATGGAAAAGAAAGAAAACTACTATCATAAAATTGAGAATGGAAATGGGGAATGTGTCAAAGAGACAACAACCCGACCAAAGAGCAGAAAACAGCAGAAAACCACCAATGCCATGATTATCAAATTAACTCTGTGTATGAACTGATTGTATTTAAAAGTAGTTTGAAATTTATTCATGCATCCAATAAAATTTAAAATATGGTAGTTAAATCTATATTGATCCTTTGCTCATGTTTTTAATGTTAAAAATCTTGCATCTAAATATAAAGAATCAACATATGTAAAAAAAAGGTATTGGTATTCATTTTTATACATACGCAAATTATATGCAATGCCAAGATTAAGAAATTTGTATCAACTGCACATGACTTATTCTGATATTCACAGTGTTGGCTTACTACGTTATTATCGTTTCAACAACAAATTTAACGTCCGATTATGACAGTTATAACTACGTTGTCACAACGTACTAAAATGTCTCGTCCTGACAGGGTGATAAAATTACGTCAACCTGACGTACTTTTATAACGTCTGAAAACTACGTTGGGTTTTACGTTCACACATTGGTACGACGTAAATCCAAGACACGACGTTCAGACGACCATTACCCGACGTCGGGAATACGTCGTGTGTTTGCTTGGGTATGATTGCCAATGAGACAACTATCCACCATATTATTTTTGCTGTTAAAGGCTGTACGGTTGCCTATAATTACTTACATCCACTTCATTTGAACTTTGGTGGGTATGATTGCCAATGAGACAACTATCCACCAAAGTTCAAATGAAGTGGATGTAAGTAATTATAGGCAACCGTACAGCCTTCAACAAAAAAAAAAATATACCGTTTTTCGACTATAAAAGGCTCCGACATGAAAAATATGAAACAATTCAATTGAGAAAACTAACGGCCTAATGTATAACAAAATAATTTACGAAAAACAAATATGACAAACATGAACCAACGACAACCACTAAACTACAGGCTCCTGACTTGGGACAGGCACATAAAGAATGTGGCGGGGTTAAATATGTTTGTGAGTGCTCAACCCTCCTCCTAACCTGTTACAGCACAACATAAGAGCAAACTATAAAAATAAGTTGAAAATGGCTTAACTCACCAGATCGATACAAAGAAGAAAAACATCAAACATAAACACAGACCGGACGTGACAGGGTATTTATCCACCCCTCATCCCTAACAAAAAAGACACTAAGTACAGATCTGAGAGTACTCGCAGATACTGAAAGCTAGTTCAAAGCCAATAACAAATAATAAAAGTATCTAAGACTAAAATATCAATCAGTACACATCCAGCATCCAATGGATTTAGTGTAAAGACGTCATTAACAGTCGGAGAAAAACATGACTGCGTAACTGTTATGATTCACAAAAACCGTTAAAGCAAAAAGACAAATGCAGTACTTTTCAATGCAGGCTAGTGGCTTCCAAAAAAGTGTTTCTGATAAGTATCAAATCTAAAAATAAGGAGAAGTGGTATGTTTACCATTGAGACAACTATCCACGTTACACTAGATGAAGAGGATGAATATTACACGTTACCGTACGGGGTTTAACATTGAGCAACAACCATAACGTACAATAAGCTAAAACATGCTAAAAAAATAAAAATAAAACTAAATATGGCTGGCAAACAGCAGCCAATCAATGACAGCCACTGAATAATCGGCTCGTGACTTAGACAGGCACATGAATAATGTTACTGGGTTACCCATGTTTGTGAGCACTCAATCCCCCTTACATGTAGCAGTGTAACAACACGACATAAAAACAATGTAAAAATTAGCCTAGAAAGTGCTTAACACATTGGACCAATACTTGCGCAAAACAAAACTCAAAAAGTTAAAATGTACCGATAAAAGCGTCCTGGAGTCATTGAAAGCTAGACCAAAACCCGATTTCAACTAATGAATAAATAAAAGTTCTCCCAAGACTAAAATTCTTTTTACACAGCCGTTAGTTATCATAATCATTGAAAACCCTATACGCACATAACTCCAAAATGCAACAAAATCGTAATCTGGTAACAACGAGTCATGAACATATTGGTAAATGATAAAAAATTGAATCTACATACACCACTTGTGTTTCGATTATTTTGGCTCAAACCCCAAGGGAGTTTATGCGTTGTTTAATATCTGGTCAAACTGATCAAACTGATATCTTATAAAACGAACTTTCAGCATTTCCGTGTTTGCTTAAATATATATTTTTTTCTGATATAAGAACATGTCTAAAGAAAGATGATGATATAGATAAAATATACATTTAATTACATTTAGAATGTCGAATGAAACGACGACAGACACATCAACAGCTCCCCGGAAAGAAGAGTCTGGTAAAAGTACCAATGAAAATCTTGCAGAGGTAATAGAATCAAGAAATTGTGTGTGTTATTATTATTAAACTTTCATCTACACTTTGTAGTTAAACATACATTAGTGTATATTCACTGGTGTTAATATGTCTTTTGATTGAGTTAATCCATTTCAATTGATATTTTATAGTGTGTCTTTCTATGTTGTGATGTTACACTATTGTTTCAGATAAGGGTGAAGGTTTGGTACCATTAAAACGTTTAAACCCGCTGCATTGTTTTGCATCTGTCCTAAGTCAGGAATCTGATGTTCAGTAGTTGTCGTTTGTTAATGTGGTTCATAAGTGTTTCTCGTTTCTCGTTTTTTATATAGATTAGACCGTTGGTTTTCCCGTTTAAATGGTTTTACACTAGTAATTTTTGGGGCCCTTTATAGCTTACTGTTCGGTGTGAGCCAAGACACCGTGTTGAAGACCGTACTTTGACCTATAATAGTTTACTTTTATAAATTTTGACTTGGATGGAGAGTTGTCTCATTGGCACTCATACCACATCTTCTTATATATATTCGAGTGGACTTGCCTCTACTGTCTTTGCAGTTAAACTCAATAATAAAGTCCCTGATGTGTTAATACTATATAGTCTGGGTCACTGCACTGAAAACACCTGTGTCATTTTGTCAAAACTTGAAGTTTGTTTTCAAATTTTTGCTGTTATCTGAAAGAATGCAAATTGTCGCATCTATCAAAGATTCTTAGTTATTAAATTAAAAAAAATACTTATAAGGTCACAAAGGGGAATGTATAAATGTATTTTTATATTTTGCTTAATTTAGTACATTATTTTTTTCAATACTTTTTTCGTTGTAGTTATTGTCAGATATATCTGCTGAAAGAGAAGAAAGTGTATTCAGTTTAAAACGGTTGCTTGACGTTGGAAATAATAAAAATGTTCTTCGTCAGAATTACGTCGATGAAACTGTTCTCAAATTTACTATGCGCCGAATAGAAGGCGATAAAGACATGGTTGCTGCAGATTTATGTCGTGAACAGAATGTATTCAAGAAGAAATTAAAAGTTTACCGAGACAAACAAAGAAAACTGACTGCAAAACGCCTAGCAAATGAACGAAAGATATACGATACGAAACATAATAATGTTAACGAATCAACTGATTCGTTAGAAGATCTTCTAAGAAAACAACTGACAGTGCGAAGACCTGTAATAAAAAAGCAAAGACCTGCAACATGTATACCTACAATGCTGCAACTAAAAACCAAAACAGACCATCTTAAAGGCACTGAAAGCGTAGAGTTCGATAAGAAATTTTTTATCAACAGAAAAAGATATCGCGTTGATTTGAGGCCGAAGATTTCTCATACCTATCGTGAGAAACCTGAAATGCTTGAAAAAGTAGTAAACGGAAACAGAGGTTACCTGACTGACCCTAAAGAAGCCGTTAGATATTTTGAAGATGACGAAATCGACGAAAGGAAAGGTATTTATGCCTTGTTGACCGAAATTCGGAAAAAAGTCGAACAAAGAAAATTGAAAAATGGTCAACAGAAAATGAATTTGTATTTAGATAAATATTTTCCAAGAAAAATTAAAAGTGTTATTTTAAGTGACGGACAAGAAACTGATCTGGAAAAGATTCAGGATCAAGCACAGAATATAACGGTTACACGACGATCCCAAACAACGTTGTCATAAGCCTTATATACCTTTTAAAATACGTAGTTAATTTTTTCACCATGTATGTTTAGAAACAAACAGTACACAAAATGTGAATTTAAGGAAAAACTTATTACAGTATTTGAAGGTATCAGGGAAATAGTACATTAAGTCTAGAATTTATATGATAAAAGGGATAAGCGGTAATCCTGATAAACTTTTAACTTATGTTATTTACAAAATATTACTGAGATACTATTAATTTTTCCAGTACTTATAGTACATACTGGTATAAATGACTTTTATTTGATTGGTACGAGAAATACATGTATCTGACGCGTATGAGCTACTTTGGCATTAACAGAAATTGAATAGATGAAGACGAATAAGACATGATAAGTTAGACTATGATTTTAATTCCCTGGAATGAATTTATCAATTCGAAAAAGAAATATTTGATATCATTTAAAATATACATATATTTGAAAACCCGAAATGAATATGAATTTAAAGTTATGTAAAAAATCAGGACGCAATAAGAATATAGATTCAGTGCATGTATACACATTTTCCAGTTGAATTACTGAAAAAAATCAGCTTTCAGAGTAGATTGTTTTGCTTTAGCTTTTTATACAATTAGCGCGCAATAAAGCTTAGCAATTCGAATATTTTTTTCCTTTACTAATTAACTAGAAATGTGTTAGTCAAATTCTATTTAATGCAACACAGAATACAAACCAACAAATGAATAAATGGTTGCTGCAGATTTATGTCTTGAACAAAATGTATACAAGAGAAAATTATAAGATTAACCGAGACAAACAGAAAAACCTGATTGCAAAGGGGCTAGGATGAAAAATTTTGTCCTGCATTTTTTTAGTTGTAATCTCTATCCTGCCTTTTTATTTTTCACTCTATTTGGGCCTGCCTTTTATTATTAGTTTATCGTGACTTTTTTTTACATAAACTATCATCCTGCCTTTTTTTTGCCAAGTTGCTCATCCTGTCTTTTTTTTTTACTCAAACCTCCTGTCCTGCCTTTTTTTTTCAAATTTCATCCTAGTCCCCCATAAAAATCAAATGGTAGCTCCCTTTAGGTCAGGTACGTTCGTATCATAACTTCAATACATATAATGCATTGGTTGTGTAAAAAACAAAGATGTATGGAAGATGACCAATCTTAATTTATCTTTTTTTGATACCGAAAACCTAAACTGTTTGTCACATAGAAAAAATACTCTGCTTAATGCTCATATGAATAATAGAATGTAAAATAGACAAGAATAACTTTCTGGGTTGTGTTATGATAAGGCAATTGTATACCTCGCAAAGATTTTCTGGTATTAAATTCACCATACAAACACCGAGTCTTTTTCAGGTATATGTCGGCTTTATAGCTTGCTGTCCGGTGTGAGCCAATGCTCCGTGTTGAAGGCCGTACCTTGACCTATAATGGTTTACTTTTATAAATTGTAACTTGGATGGAGAGTTGTCTCATTGGCACTCATACCACATCTTCCTATATCTAATTTGTCATAAACACCATCGTTTTGGTCAATTAATGATGATTTCTCCATGGATAAAAAGAAACTTGATTTTTCTTTGAATAATTTTAGATAAAAATATGTAGTTATTTGACACCAAGACAATCATCTACTGAAACATAGTTTTGAAAAACGTAACCAGGGTAAATAACTAAAATTAAAAAGAAAGTAAATCAGGCAACACATAAACTTAAATGTGTATTTTACTTATTTTAATTTTTACATGTTTATTGATGCTGTTTAAATGAATAACATGACTTGATATATCTAAAATGCAAATTAACCTAATTATGCTTTAGATGTTTGAAACTTTTAGAATAATAAAAATTCAGCGTTTAAAAAATGTACGTACCCTTTGTAGGTCGTCATGGTTGTAAAATAACCCAATCGGTGACTGTAAAACAATGTGCGGGAACTTTTATGAAACTACTGAATTTAGGGTTTCGATTAAATATGCTTATCCAAAGTTAGGTAACTCGACTAACGTTGTCGTTGTCTCATTTAATGAGTTGCCGGAAAAATAACAAACAAGTATATTCTGACGAAAAATCAGGATACTCAAGCTCCACAAGTAGATGTAAAAAAATGTTTTATTTTTCCATGTTGATAGAAATAATCTTTGTACACAATTGTCTAGTAGTTTCAGATAAAAAAAAATGTTGATTTTTTTGTGTTATAAAAGAGGATGTAAACGTCTATCGGATCGAAAATTATGTCACATTCTACGCTAGTTATTATAGCTTATTAATAAAAACCGGTTACGAATAGACCTCGAACGTTCCGCTTACTTAGCCCTTTCTGGATGTTTCCTTATAATTTTTCATAACATAACTCAGCATTGACAGAACTGGATTGTGGATTTTCAACACAATTTTCAGAAAACGAGGGTTGAGCATCTGAAGATTTAACTGAAAATTCCTGTAAATGGAGGAAATGACTGTCAAAAGTTTGTATGGACCTGAAAACATGATTTTCAATCTTCCTCTAAGGGAACCCAGCGTGTTCTTTTTTATTATTCAAGTTGGTCCACTGACAAGTCTGATTAGTAATTCCCTTATTAAATCATCGTTTACAGACATTTTTCTTTATTTTACTAAATGAACTTGTTAGCGACGAGATTTGCGCTCGCAACAATTTATTAGCACGTTAACGTAATCAATTGATGCGGTTGTGGAAGAAGATCGATAACTCTTACTATTCCTTAGAAAGATATTTAATCATCCAATCATTATCAGTTGAATCATCCGAAATCTACATCGTGTTTTTAGTGAGGTTCGTATTGCCCAGTCTTTAGTTTTCTATGTAATGTTTTGTAGACTTATTAAGTTTTTTCGTCGTTTGTCATTTTTATAATGGTATTATGTCGGTTTCCCTTCGACTTAAGATTTTGATTACATCTCTTAGGTATCTTCAGCCTCTGTTTGCTATGAACAAACTATTTACTGAGGGGGTGGACAGGGGGTACCCTTCTCCCACCTCCCGCCCCTGCTCCACCACCCGTCCCTATCTCCCACCTCCCACTTTTAGAATCTTTTTTTCTCTCCCACCTCCCCCCCTTCCCCCCCACCTCCCTCAAAAGCTGTCCACCCCCTTTTTATTAGTGATTACACCTTTTTTTTCTAACATTGATCGAGAGATGTGAAATTTGCATAAAAATTACAGATTTTTATAATTAAAATGTGGTTCGTTTGTTCGAAGTTCTTTATTGATAAAAAATAAATTATTTAGTACCTCATAATTTACTTGCTTTTGTCTGATTTGTAACTGTGACATCACGACGTAAAATAATACCTACAGATCGTGTAGAAATAAGAAGAGAATTTTGTGAAATATGATATTTCTTCATTCATGACAGTTCTATTTCTGAATTTGAATATGCATCAACTTGGAAAAAATATCTTATAAATAAACTCATCATAGATACCAGGATTAAATTTTGTACGCCAGACATGCGTTTCGTCCACAAAAGACTAAACACAATAGGATATGTGTTAAAAAATATATTACATGTCTAACAATCTGAAAACTGTCCTTTAAAATGACTTTTTTGCCTGTGTTTTTGATCAGTTGTCAATATAATTGAATTTTATGCGACTGTCATACAAGTTAGAGGTTTATCTAGCCACAAAACCAGGTTTAATTCACCATTTTCTAAAAAAGGAAATGCCTGTACCAAGTCAGGAATATGACAGTTGTTTACATTTGTTTGATATGTTTGAGCTTTTAATTTTGCCATTTGATAAGAAACTTTCCGTTTTGAATTTTCCTCGGAGTTCGGTATTTTTGTTATTTTAATTTTTTCGTATATAACATAAATTAATACCCAACAAAATACATATTTTCCGTCGTTTAATACTTAAATGAAAAAAATATACGATACAATTTTGACAAACAAAAAAGTCAGAGGCCACGGAATAAAAGTGTATTTACATTAAGAAGAGGAAAACGCACAACATAAAACAAATATATATGTAAATTTATACAAATATTTGACTAAAGACCAGTTTTAGATTTGGAACCAGTAGAACTGCCATCTGATCGACGATTGGTGAAATTGTTTGCACGCAGAAGGTAAATTAATCCACGACGGAACTGTCTTGATGTGCAAGCATACAGGAAGAAATTGATAGAATAGTTAATCAATTCAAGGAAATGGCTTATATCCCTGAACGTTGTAAACCACGTCATTTTAACAGCAAACAGGTTGACTCCATGGTAGTTGACAATAATGCGAACGACACCTATTGGTGTGACGAAAATTATGTACGCAAACATTACGGACAATAACATGGCTGTCGGTCTGGCTAATGAGTTCTTCGCATTAAACTTTGACAGCTTTGCTTTGTCGTGTTCATGCTTGATCAGACTAATTATGATGGTTGGTGTGGCGATTAGAAGAATCACTAAGGGTCCAATAAAATAAAGCGTGACACCAGTATTTAGCATTTGTCTATACAAAATGACAGCGCTAGAATCGTTCCTGTCATATTGATCCGGGTTACAGATTTTATTTTGATCTATTTTAGTACAATACGAGAAACCAGCTGTGAATCCAATGATAAGAAGTAACATCAGTCCGATTCCGGCTAATGTATTTCGTTTTGAAAACCAAATCTTCACCTTGAGGGGAAATTTAACAGCTGCTAATCGCTCTAGTGCCATACAAACTACAAACCACGATGACATCATCTTTCCAGCTCTGTGAACGCAAAAATAAACCTTGCAACCAATAGTCGAAAGCGCACGCAAGTCAAATCCAAGATATCTAATTACGAACATATTTTTGAACGGCTGGGTCAGGAGCACACTCGTATCTGCAATCGCCAATCCGATTAAGAAGTATTTCGAGGCAAAATGAGAAAAGGTTTTCGTGTTCATCAGAATAATTGTTAGCATATTGCCAATAACACCAGTTACCAAGCATATCGGTATGGAAACCATATTAACGTAGTCAAGAATGGCATTGGATGTTGTTGAGGTATTCGACAATATTGTTGTGTCTTCGAATTTAAAGTTTGGCGTGAAAGAAAAATTGGTGATAGCACCTTCTGATCTGGACACATTCTCAACTAATGAATCCATGATCTGTAAAAAAAAAGATTAATGTTCAAGCTGATAAAATTATCGTTTACGCAATTAAAATATGATAGGCACTTTGACCTGAAAAAATACAAAGGAAAGAAAAGTTGACAGCTTTACCCTTTTATAGCCGGGTAAGATGGCGTTCCGACTATATGGATATCACGAAGGAATATTTCGCTCCTTAAACTTTTATTTTAGCAGTCCGGCAAGACCGAACAACAAACTCCAAACTAAATGTAAAGTAACATACAAAAAAATAACAATATATATAAGCACAAGCAATTAAAGGATTAAGAATATTTAACATAACATATGCCAAATAGAAATAACAATAGATTAGAAGAGTAATTAATGTCCGACACGTATAAGTAAATTATTGTCTAAACTGTTACAGAGAATAAATAATTAAATGAATAGAGTAAATGAATGTAAGTCCTTTGTCCAAGATTATGACACATAATCCGTGTAAAACACTTATGCCTAAATTTACGACAAAGTTCAGAATAATAAAATAAATGCAAAACAAGAATATACATTAAAACAATTGAATTCATAAAATGTTGTTTAAAAACTAATTTCATTGCACAGTCCAAATTGGCCGGTCATATATTCCCGCGGCCCTTGAAGACACGACCCGGGTCTTACTTTTCATCTGAAATTGTTCCGAAAGTTTCTTCTGTGGTTGTGGCGTCCTCTGTAACGATAGTTTTGGTTTGAATAGTTATCTTCTCTTGTATTTTTCCGAAAATTGTCCAATTCGTCTTCTAGTTTGATGATTCGATCCCGCATACGTTCTTAATCGCGTTGTAGATTGAATTGCTTATCGATTGCTTCACATCTGTGGTCGTACAGCCCAAAATTAGATTCTTCAAGATTATTAATGCGTTCACGTAATTTTTCCATTTCTTTTTGGTCATCTGCGTTTTGTTTTTGAAGTTTTTCTAGATTGCTAACAACACTGGTATGCTTTTGATTTAACTCTTTAAATTTCTTTTCATAGTGTACACTTTTAATTTTGAATTTAACTCTCTCGGAATTCACTCGGTCGTGCCTGAGTCTTACGTTATCTATGAATTCCTTGTTATATTCTAAGGTTGGAAAGAAGTCGATCAGTTCTATGGTATTAAGTTCCGCACAAGAAAACATTGACATAGCTTTCTGTTCTTTGAATTTTCTCATTCTTTCTGCGTCACGACGTAACTTGGATTTCGATTTAACCTTAACAACTTTCACGTCCGGTTGTCTGTGAAAATTACACATTCTGGCGTAATGTCCAAAACTTCTGCACTTATAACAAAATGACGTTTTTGCTATACATTGTCTAAAATGAAATTGATTGTTCACAGTCTTTCCACAAAACTTACATAGGTAGATGTCCATATGTTGAAAATTTCTTGTCTGAAAGGTAGTTCCATGATCAGACATCTGGTATCTCCAGTCTCGGCCAAAATTTCTCGTTCTCCGCGTATCCATTTTTCTGTTTGCTGGGGGATCAGCTTCACAGGTAGAACAAGGTATCCGATAGATGCGTTGCCCGGATGTCCTAACACCAGATATAGCCGGGTAAAATGGAGTTCCGACTATATTGAAATCAAGAAGGAATATTTCGCTCCTTAAACTTTTATTTTAGCAGTCCGGCAAGACCGAACAACAAACTCCAAACCAAATGTAAAGTAACATACAAAAAATAACAATATATATAAGCACAAGCAATTAAAGTATTAAGAATATTAACATAACATATGCCAAATAGAAATAACAATAGATTAGAAGAGTAATTAATGTCCGACACGTATAAGTAAATAATTGTCTAAACTGTAACAGAGAATAAATAATTAAATGAATAGAGTAAATGAATGCAAGTCCTTTGTCCAAGATTATGACACATAATCCGTGTAAAACACTTATGCCTAAATTTACGACAAAGTTCAGAATAATAAAATAAATGCAAAACAAGAATATACATTAAAACAATTGAATTCATAAAATGTTGTTTAAAAACTAATTTCATTGCACAGTCCAAATTGGCCGGTCATACTTTCAACCAATCAACATTAATAAATACCTTGCCAAATATATACTAGTAATTTGATATTCAAGTTATGTAGCAGAGGTACATGTATGTGTCGATAACCAAGTTTTCTGCTTATTGATGATGTGCAATATCAGCTGTCAGTCACTATAGGAAGCTTTTGTCGCGTAAGGACAGCCATCGAGTTCGAAGAGGCTTCATGTTGTGTAGAGTAGCGTATATTTTACAATATCAATATGATGAAAATCTGATAATCGATGTATCAGTCTGTACTCGGGGGAGGGTTGAGATCTCAAAAACACGTGTAACCCCGCTATATATTGCGCCTGTCCCAAGTCAGGAACCTCTAGCCTCTGTTAGTCTTGTGTTTTTTTTAATTTGGTTCATTTGTATGTTTTGGAGTTTAGTGTCACGTCCATTTAGGTGAACTAGTGTACATTATTTTAGAGGCCAGCTGAATCCAGCCTCCGGATGCGGGATTTTCTCGCTGCGTTGAAGACTCATTGGTGGCCTTGGGCTGTTTTCTGCTCTTTGGTCGGGTTGTTGTCTCTTTGACACATTCCTCGTTTGTATTCTCTATTCTATTGACATACCAAAGTTGTGACATGCAATTTTATGAAGATTGAGCAAAGTGATACTTTGATACATGAAATCCTGTTTACAGTTAATTTAAAACCATTTCCAGTATTTTCCAAAGATCAATTAACTCAATAACATTAACAGTACCAATTTGTCGCACCAGATATTCATTTCGACAATAAATGCCTTTTCATTGAGGCTCGAGGTCAAAATATTGGAAAATCCAAAACTTATTAAAAAAAAGAAGAGCTTATAAACCAAGGAGGACAAAATTTTATTCAGCCGTTCGTATTGTTGATGACTACAATTGTTTTAAATATTCCAAAATTTACTGTTTAAAACATGCACATTGAAGTACTTTCGGACCAATAGGAATAGATGTGTACATGAAAAACAATACATTATGCAATTTGTACGAATCATATTTAAGTTTAAAATTTGTCCAAGTATACTAAAAAAGGATGCGAACAGATATTGATACTGTCCCATCAGATTTTCTATTGTACAAAGTTTGACTGTGGTGTTATTTGAACAGTGTAAATAGTTAAATAACATCAAAAGTATATATACTATACTGTCTGCTTGTGGCCATCCGTTTCAAAAATAATACTGATTTCGACAAAGTGCATTGTAACTGCTGAGGAGACGATTAATGAACTATATTGATCATAGACTCACATCATTTTGTCACAGACACTTGTTACTGAAATTCTTTTCCCCTATATATATTCCTTAATACAATGTTAGATTAAGGTATATATATAGGAACAATTTTTTTCAGAGACAAGTGCCTATGCTTTTTGTACAAACACTTCCGCTTTTATAATGCTCTTCCTTGAAATCAGCCTCGTTTGAATAAAGAATCAAGTCGGCATGAAGAGAACAATTGGTTCCCATGAGAATGCCGATTATTTGTTGAAAATTAAACCAACACTTCCATACGCAATGAATATGTTGTCAATGTAAGAATTAAATATATTGATGAAATCAGTTGGTTAATTTTGTTGCTTTCGCAATTCACATTCTGTACAGGAAGACATACATTTGAGATACCTAGGTTATGAGTTTTCGCTACCTATATACAAAACTAAGGGTACATGAATTTGAATAATGAATAACCATATGATACTATATTGTTCAAAGAAGTAGGGTCAACTCATTTATATCACTCACAATGTCAATGTCTGAAAGCTGTCGAATCCTACGGAAATGTAAAATAAGAGTGTCTATATCAATTGAATCAATTTGTACCTGAAAGATAATGAAAAGCCTTAATTCCAACTAAATTTTAGTTTTGGTTAAAGTCCTTGTACATGTTATGAAAAAATACTAAATAAAAAACAGATCTATCAAAATTGCGGTATTTGGCTACGTTCAGGCGTTTAAGCCATAATATTTTAAGAACACACATGGGGTCTCTAAAACACCACAAAGGACCTCCTCTGTGCACAAAGGAACACAATGTAGCACAAAGGACCACAAAGGATTGTAATAAGAGCACAAAGGACCTGTAATTGGATTTTTTACAAGAAAATAATGTAATTTTTTAGGAAAAATGTAAAAAAATTATTTTGAAAATCATGCAAATTGCGATTTTTATTGTGAATGACATGGTGTAATCACCGGTACCGGATCGGAACCGACTTTACATCCGGTTATGTCATACCACATAATTTTAAAATAATCAGTAGTTCAGAAATATTAATTTACATTTTTTTTTTATCAAGATTTATTCTGGACAAAAACAAAGTATCTATCAATTTTTTCTTACTTTATGAATCTATCAGATTTACGAGGAAAATGTTTGATAAGACGCAAAAAGGATCAGTATGGCAACACATAGGCTATGAAATTGACATGATTTTTTTCCCGTATTTCATAAACGTCAATATGTATAATAATAAATATTTTGAAAATCTTGAAAATTGCGATTTTTATTGTGAATGACATGGTGTAATCACCGGTACCGGATCGGAACCGACTTTACATCCGGTTTATGTCATACCACATAATTTAAAAATAATCAGTAGTTCAGAAATATTAATATACATTTTTTTTTATCAAAATTTATTCTGGACAAAAACAAAGTATCTATCAATTTTTCAGATTTACGAGGAAAATGTTTGATAAGACGCAAAAAGGATCAGTATGGCAACACTTAGGCTATGAAATTGACATGATTTTTCCCCGTATTTCATAAACGTCAATATGTACTTTATTAGATTTAATTCTTGACAAAAACAAAGTG